AAATTAGGAGGACAAAGATTTTGCAAGCTGTAAATTCTTTGTGCGCTGCAGCTTATTGTAAAGCTCCAGAAAGGCTCCAGTAAGGCAAGCCAGCGGTGGTCTGCACGAAACGGGACGGTGGTCGGCGGCTATCCTTCAATCAGTACATCATCGTCTTGCCGATTATGCTCTTTCGAACTGGTCTTCAGAAACAATATGCAAATCCGAAAACTTAATGACTTCACACTTTCAAACCCTCATAACTTCACTCGGAGGGTCTTCAGCAACGGATGGCAGATTTGGGATTACCGCAACAAAACACATCCCAATGATATAATCACGATTTATTCTAGATCACCTGTGGTCAGTCCGGATCATTTCCTGTTGTTATAACAATAGCTAATTGACGTTGACGACATTAAAATTTGGGTACTTACAATAATGAGAATCGAAGCGTTGTGAGAGGAGCCTTACAGTGTTCAATAGGCGCCATGATTCGGTGGTGCGCTGAATGGGCTCTCTGTCATACAGCGCGGGCATTTTCAATCTTATCTCTCTATATACAGGGTGTCCCAAAAAAAATGTGCACACCGTTTGATTGTTAATAACTCTCTTGCTTTCACATCTTTTGCCGAGTCTGAAGTACCCTTCTTTAGAGCGAGGTTCAACTTAGATTTACAGTATGGAGAGACTTATCAGCAGCTCTTCGTTGCTGTAGGATCACAGTAGGAATTTCAAGGAGGATTAGCCATTGAAAGTGGTATTTGCCTCAGAAAGAAAATCAAACAAGCCAGAAACTTTTGAACTGGTGTCTAATTCTAAATTAAATTGCATGTCAGTACACTGTTTCTTTGATGAGTGATTTAGGTAACAACTGATTTTCCAATGTTTGTCAGAAATGTGAATACGCCATCAAGAAAGCTTGAAAAGCTGGTGGAAAGTTGTGTATTGGAATCAGCATCCCTGAAAACCTTGCTACACAAATTTTCAGATTTTTTCGAAATTATTTTATCAAAAGGCTTATTCCACAATGACGCTGTATGCTGAAAGTTCATACCGTGATCCTGCAGTAACGAAGAGTGATTGGTGATTCGCTCTATACTGAAAATCTAAGTTTATCCTGGCTCTACAGAATGGTTTTTCAAGCTCGGCAGAAGACATGAAAGCAAGAGAGTTATTAACGATCAAACAGTGTGCACATCTTTTTGGGACACCCTGTATATAAAACAGAAAATCTGTGTGTTTGTGTGTAGGTGCACATTTCCATAGTTATGAAGGATGAGCGGTGAAGCTCATTTTGATCTGCTGATCATCAGGATAGGTAAGAACGGTAGGAAGCGAACCCAAGGGAGTCGGAATCAAAAGAAGAGTGAATTTCGCTACATGTGAGATTAAGCACGAATGATTCCGGAACGGGATGGAACCCGGGATGCCAGCTCGTGCACAATATTTCGCAGCATCAAGACAATAGATATGATATTGTTAAAGCTTTACCAAGGGTTGATCGAGCTCTTCTTCGAAAACTTATGATTTTCGAGAAGAAGTGCCAAAAAACCCTCTATCTTCTAGGGAAATTGTTTTTTGCCTATTTTTCTCGAAAACGATAACTTTTCAAGGAAGAGCTCGATCAACACAAACTTTGCTCAGTTAGAAAGAAGAAGCCAGAAAACTAAGGATAGTGATTGTTTTGAATTTTACTGCGCAGTTTGAATATTTGACGAGCTTGCCTCAAATCGCCGGACTTCGGAAGATTTCGAAAGATTTTCTTCCTTCATTTTTATCTTTGGAATCTGGACATAACTGAAAGCCACTAGGTCACAGTTAGAAAGTATTAGGTTGTTACATAAGTCTTGTGACACTTCAACTTCTTACGGCCAGTTTGAATATTTGACGAGCTTGCCTCAAATCGCCGGACTTCGGAAGATTTCGAAAGATTTTCTTCCTTCATTTCTATCTTTGGAATCTGGACATAACTGAAAGCCACTAAGCCACAGTTAGAAAGTATTAGGTTGTTACATAAGTCTTGTGACACTTCAACTTCTTACGGCGATAAGTCATGCATCTCACATTCTTTACAGGGCTTCAGGGTACCATTCGATAGAGCAAAGCAAGCTCTACAAGATTGTGTGCAAAAGTTCGCAACAGCTTCGACCCACTGTAAGTTTGCATCCAAAATCTGACTCGTACTGAAGCGTCAGAAAATCGCGAAAAATTCATATCTTTGTTTAGAAAAATCCTACGGATTTCCAACTTGCTCATAAAAATTGCACACTACATCAGACACTCATGTATACCGCTGCTGTATTTTTTTTCATCTAGACATCGAGAAAACAAAAGTGTTCTTGGATTTACAAAAACGAAGCTATGCTGTTTGTTTCATGTATACTACATATACTGTGTACTACTACTGTATACTACATGTATACTACACTGTATGTATACTACAAGCCCTTAGGAGTATAAACGTAAATTTTCAGCTTTCCAGAGGCTCTGGTTTTCGAAAAATACTGGATTTAGCTTTTTTTACTCAGGTTTTCAATGCTAGATTAAGTAATTTTCAAAAACTAGGGCATCTGGAGAGCTGAAAATTTAAGTCTATACTTCTAAGGGCTTGTAGTATACAGCTATATGAATAGAAACAACATAGCTTCGTTTTTGCAAAAACAAGAAAATTTTTGTGGTATCGATTTTTAGGTGGAGAAAAAAATACAGCAACAGTATACATGAGTGTCTGATGCAGTGTGCAATTTTTATGAGCAAGTTGGAGATTCGTAGGATTTCTCTGACCAAAGATTTGAATTTTTCGCGATTTTCTGATGCTTCAGTACGAGTCAGATTTTGTATGCAAACTTACAGTGGGTCGAAGCTTTTGCGAACTTTTGCACAGAATCTTGTAGAGCTTGCTTTGCTCTATCGAATGGTACCCTGAAGCCCTGTCAAGAATGTGAGGTGCATGACTTATCGCCGTAAGAAATTAAAGTGTAACAAGACTTATGTAACAACCTAATACATGCTTTACGCTGAACTTGTTTCGAGCAGAATCGTCGTGATGGAAAGAAGTTACGATTTTCCGAAAACTGCGCGAAAGAACTTTCGGTTCAACCTGATATTTTGCAAAGCAGAAAATCAACAAGATGCACAGTAACATGATTCCACTTTCATCCAACAACCCTAGCAAGTTCTATGCTCTTTCCTCTTGAGTATCAAGGAGTTACAAAGCGCGATGACGAAAGGATCCCGTATCAGCTATTCGAAAATGAACTTTGCGGACAAGAAATCCCTCTGTACTAGAGCTCCTAAAGCCAAGCTCCCCAAGTAGCTAAATGTAAGTTAATGGACTGCAAACTTGTTCCGGAATAAAGTGTAATCAACATGGCAAGTGCAATAATTAAATTCAGATATAGGACATACATAAGATAATGAAGATGTTGGCGTCTGCGTGCCTCACGTATGCGGTCTCGCCAACGGTATTTCCTTAGCTTCAGTCTCTAATCGAATTGGCTCTAAGCTTGCACACGTTATTCCTTAGATATTGGAGAATGACCAGAGAACTGAAATAATGTCCCTTGTTTAAGTTACGCCCTTGAGAAGTTTGAATGAGAGCAAGAATCGTAGGCGGGTCTGTCGTCACGTTTTAAGACATTGACGACAACGCAAATTTTTGATTGTCTGCCTCTTGGAACCAGGATCTTTCATGGACCAATCAACATTTTTTGAATAAAATCACCCAAACTGCCACCTACAGTAAACCTACAGTAGCTGCGGAAGGATGACAAAGAAGAAAGAGGTCATTTCTAGATTCACAGCAAAAGAAAACTTTTGGGATGAGTTTGTACCAATATAGTCGTCATATTCACGCAATACAAGCCTTGTCACATCATGTCAAGCAGTCCCACATGGCAGCAATTGCTTGACACACAAGGTGTGTCAAACGGTCGTCAATGCGTTAATGAAAGACCCATAAAAACTGTCTGCATACACCATTTATACAGTGCTGGACATAATTATAAAGCCACTCTTGGTGCAAAAGTTCTGTCAGTTTTTTCAATCCATTGGCAAGCAAGCTAGAATGAAGATAAACAAGCACTTCAAGAAGTATCCGATGCAGAATTTCTTCCTCTTTTCAGCTACTAAACTCCCGTTGTGTTTCGTTGAGAAAATGACGAGATATTTGCCGGAAATTACAACCACTCGTTTTTACCATGTCCAAATTTCACTGATATTCAAAAATTTTGTATGAGATTTTCGGAGGAGCCCTGCTAACCACCAGATAGGGCAAACGTTTTGCCAACCGAAAGGATTTTGCTAACTAATTTTCTGAAAGTCTTGTGTTTTGGAAAAATCGCATAACCTTTTATTGTACCAAACACTGCAAAACCTATAGAATACTGAGGTTTCAACACACGATTATTACTACCGCTACCATTACAAAGTAAGTGAGCGATTTTCGCTTTAAATTATGAAGATTTTGAAACATAGGTTACTCAGTGCGCAGTCATGAAATTGAGAAATACTGCGATTTTCCCCATAAATTTCGTAATAATTCTAAAGGCGTAGGGCTACAAAAAATTGCTTCTGTTGGCAGAAGGTTGCCCTATCTGGTGGTTATTAGGGCTCCTCCGAAAATCTCATACAAAAATTTTGAAAATTAGTGAAAGTTGAACATGGTAAAAACGAGTGGTTGTAATTTCCGGCAGATATCCCGTCAAATTCTCAAACACAACGGGAGTTTAGCAGCTGAAAAGAGGAAGAAATTCTGCATCGGATACTTCTTGAAATGTTTGTTTATCTTCTAGCGTGCTTGCCAATGGATTGAAAAAAACTGACAAAACTTTTGCACCAAGAGTGGCTTTATAATTATGTTCAGCACTGTAGCTCATCCGATAACGTACAAACTTCAGATGCGCCTCATAGGGAAACCCAGCTATCCATATTTCACGCGGATTGGTTCCCAGCAGATGCTCCAGGACAAAACTAACGTTGTAGCTTATGTGCGAGACCAAGTAGTAAAAGTACTTTATCTGACGAAGCACAACCACATGACTTACGTTTTCTATGTCACCCGAAAATGTATAAACCTGTACAACTAGATGTAAGATCAGCAAATCAACAAATCAATGACTGAATGAAGCTCTGACAAAGTTTTATGCATTGACAGCCTTCTTCGACCTTCCATTCACGACCTCGGTGCTCTCATCAAAGTGGACATGGCACGACGAGGCTCTGTGTTCCGGCTGATGCATCGACTGGAAGTCGATACTGCTCATTGACTTGAGGGAAGAGCCGTAGAGGACTAGATGTGACACATTGTCGTTGTACATCCGCAGGATCTCCTGAACAGAAGCTGCTTATTTGGGACAGTCTGTATGGGAAATGCCTGCCTACCCTGTAGGGATCTTCCTCGTCCTGAGAAGATTGGGATGACGATGCGCACTGTCGATCCGTAATTGAAGCCGCAGCCTCTAATCTGGAAAAATCGCAGGATTAGTTCAAAACTTGCATTTATAGCAGAGATATGTTGAATTTAATAAGCATTTAAAGACTTTCTCTTGATTTTCGCACTGTAAGCGCTTACTGAGTCTCATTGTAAGTTATATGTAGTGCGCAAACTTTTGTATATATAATAACTTTCTAGCTCAGTTGCTGTCACTAATGAGATCTGAAGTGTAAATTTCGATAGGAAGTATGGAAAAGGTGTCAAATCATTTCGTTCATGCTGTTATTCAAAGCTAGATGGTTGGCCCCTATTTTTCTGCGAGATCTAATAACTCGAATAGAACAACCCTTTCTGTTTTTTGTTTATTGTTAGAACCAATTCTATGGTCTGATCCGGACTAACATACCCTTTGATTCGATGGCATTGGCGGCTGGAAGGCTACCGCTCGCACCCGTGACGCAGCCTCTCTCGCGAGATACTCTGGATCATTCCCTATCTTGATTAGGCTTCGAAGCCCCGCCTTTCAGCCGCCAATCCCGTTGAATCAAAGGGTATGTCTACTATATAGAATGGTAGTGACAGTAACTATCAATAGTTGTATATTACAATTACTTTGAAAGCACAGCATTAACTCTATGTGCCAAGTTCAGCCTGGGCTGGAAGAAGCAGTGGCGGACACAAGGGGAGGGGGGGGGGGGGAAGGTGAGAATAAATCGCGAAATTTCTGAAAGTTATTTACATGGGTCGTAAAAACATGCAAGTAACTTATTTATACTTGTGAATGATTGAAATGGTTTTTTTGATTTCTCAAAAATGCAAATTATTCTTGTAAAAAAACATTTTTCGGAGGCGTTGCTGTCGCCACGTTAAGGGCCCTGAAAATTGTGAGGCGCATCAAAAGAAAGTTCTCGAAATGCGTGGCTAACGCCACGTACCTTCATTAGAACAAACTTTGTCCCCCCCTTCAAATTCCAATTGAAACTCGAACTACGGGGTGCGTCAAAATATTCAACGTAGTGCCACAGGTAAGAAATTTGATCTGAATTCAATGTCACAGAATGCCGTGAAGCATACTCTATGAAAAGCACTATCAAGATCCCAAATCGGTCATTATTTAGAGAACTAAGAATTGGAAAAAAGCAATGTTCATTACAGAAAAAAAACGCAAGCTGATGCAAACGGTTGAATAGTCAGAATTTTTGTTTTTACTTCAAAAGATTCCATTACTCAGCGATCTGAAAGTCGCAGATTAGCTCTATTTTATAATCTTTACCTGAGAGAAGAGGTCACAAAAAGATATATGCTGAGCAATTTATGAGCTTCTTATCGCGTGCAGCACGCGACAAAGTCAGAGAAATATTATGAATTTCTACCGAAAAGCAAAACAGGCATTACATCCTCCAACTAGAATATAATGTTACAGAACTGAGCAAACCATATCAAGCTTGAGCTCTCGCTGAGCCGGTCTTATACTCGTATGGCGCTTAGAAATGCGCGGGCAAGTGATTGTGGCGCACCCTTTAGTATAAAGGTTTAGAGTCTCATTGCTTGACTCTGTCTTCTGTTCATTTTGCTACTCAAAGTAGAAAAATTGCCACTAATAGTTATTTTTGTGAGTGCCCAGTCTGTGATGTTTCCGTAAAAGAAAACATTACGTTGAATGTGTCAGAAGCCGTCAAAATCTAACCGTTATCGGTGCCACTATCATGTTGAACTTTGTCCAAAAACCGCAATGAGTTAACTACTATCGAATCAATTTGAAGAATGTTTTCTCTTTTTCTTCTCACATCAGTTCCTAGACTGCATAAGCGCAAAGTCTGATAAGAACCTAGCACTTTTTCTATTCCTAACAGCAGAATAATCATATTTTATCCCCTTGAAAAATGTTGATGGAATGCCAATACAGATGGTTCACCCATTTCACTGTTTATTTACCAGAGCTTGAAATCCAATAAGGGACTCAATTGGCAAGGGCAAGGAAAGTGCCGAATTCGGAATGAAAACTCTGATCAATGTCAATAACATTGTTGCGGTAACATAGAAGCCAATCCATTTTTCTTCGTAGAGAAAGTTAACCTCTGTTGTGAATTTCATCGAGGCTGAAGTAGTGAAGATGTTAATGCAGAACAAGATTCCGAAATATACAAGATGTATTAGGTTGGCACATAAGTAATGCAACTTTTTATATAACTTTTGTCTATTTGAACGTAACGCATTCATTTTTTGGCAATATAAGGAATATGATGTAAGCTTCTAATGCACACATTTTGGCCGAATTTTACCATCTTATGTGAGGATTACGGTAGGTTACGGTACTATGGGAAAAATTTTAGAATGCATCAGATTTTGCTGAAACTTGGCCTATGGGGCTTATTTGACATGCGAGATCCGTTTCGCATGAAATGGCCTCGTTAGTGAGATCAAAAAATGAATTTCTTTTTAGCGACAAATGATTATGATATTCGTGTTTACCGCATAGGATTACCCTATAGTGCAAAGTTATAGCGAATTCTGACTTTTCGCAGCTTAGTTATTGACAAATTGCCTTCAGAACTTGACGCATTTGACTTGTTCAACTTCTCAAAGGCGCCCCACCTTAATTTGTGTTTAAATTTCATTTCTTTTTCACTGATTCCAATGTGCCAACTTCCAACTACATGCTGCCTATAATTGCTTTTTCATATGTTTGAATCAGGTTTCGTAGGGCTTCATGTTTGCCAAAAAATCGTGAAACCTCGATTTTCAGCAGTTTTCAAAAAGTGCTTAGATTTTTTGTACTACGTTATCAAAAATCAAACGGTTTGCGCAGACTTGCAGCTTACATCACAGTCTACGCGATGCCACAAAATGAGATTGCTACATAAAATAGGAAAAAAGTTAGGGGAAAAGTTGCAAAACTTACGTGCCAACCTAGAAAAATTTTATTTGAAGGTGACTTATCACTGCAGGGTTGTTGCATGAAAAACTTAGAGATGTTTTGTTTATGTTCCAGCGAAAAAGTTAACCTTCTTACAGTGTGAAATGAAAAGAGCATTGTATTATATTTTCATGTTATCCTCGTATGAATTTTTGTAAATAAAGCCGATACGAAATTTTTGCTTCTATCATGGCATCAGAAAATCTTCCTCATATCAAATGGTGAACGCAAAATTCGCAATTGTCCACTTCTCAGAAGATAATGAGCTAACATTTCCAGCATATTTCTCTCAGTTTTGTTGTTAAATTCCGCATATACGTATTGAAGCAAATCCTTGTGTAAACAGAGGAGTTGGGAGAATTTGCCGAGCACTCGATCAAACATGACTTTCACAAACATTCTTCAAACCTTTGAACTTTTTTTGAGAAACTCAGTAGACGAGTTAGTCGAAGATGTGAGAAAACAGTAAATTATGAACTTACTTTTGTGATGAGGGAGCTCTCTTCAGCAGTTTCTCAGAAATCGATCGCTTGAGTACTTTCAAATTTTTATGGAGCATCTGGAATTGAAGGTATACTCTTCAGCCAATCTATAGCACGATTTCTGGAAAGCATTGTCAACGAGCTTTAGAAGCTTAGCAAAACGTAAAAGAGGATAACATGAAAAGAGAGAGAGAGAGGAACAGGAAGATGAGAGCGAAACCCGTGTCAGCTTACATTCGACTATGTTCATACCTCACTAAGGAGTTTCGCGGAAGACCTAGAACTCAAAACAAAACTATGCCCAATATAAGGGTTGGAACGGTAGTAACATACAATAACTCTACACATTCTGGTTAGGAAGTAGTAGTAGTACAAAAATTTAGGACTTCTCATCATTCTAAATTCATTTCATTCTATTATACTCTTGCTAATGCCTGCAACTGCAAAATATCGAAACTGCGCGGAACTCCAGCTTTTGAGTAAGAGATACATAAAGGTATGATCGACTCCCAGATTCGTGTGGAGGCGGCTTCCCTCATTTTGAGGATAAGCCTTACGAAAGGGTAGAAATACAATGCTATAACGACTCAACAAGTTTATCCTGAAAATCAGGGAAATCCGCAACCTGCCTCCACACGAATTTGGGCGCTGCACTTATTTATGCTTACTACTGATCCCCCAAGCAACGGAAAAAAGTAAAAAAACAGAAGCGACATCTGCTCCACATTAAGGACCTAATCTTAGAAAATGTGCAATTACACACACTATGAAAGAAGTCTATTCGAATCAGCCGCATAGCGGGAAGGGAGCTGAAACTGTGAAGAAGAGTTACGGACCAACGCCGATGCGCAGCGATGCTCAGGTGGCCTGAGCTTTGAACATCGCAAGTCACAGGGACAACAATGCTGTTGACGAAAGAGTTCAGCGATGACGCTGAACAGAATATTATAGCGTGTTGATAGGGCTTATCGGACAAAGCGACACGCAAAATGCTGAAAGTGAGCGCTATTCTAAACAGTGGGAAATTGCTCCTTTTCGCAAAAAAGGAAGCATTGCATCACATTATAACATTTTACATAGTGCGCTTAAATCCATATATAGCTCTTACATCATCGCTTTGGTGATAACACATTGAATATGATTATTTACGTTATTACTTGTGCCCAAGCAACGGAAAAAAGCCAAAAAATAAAGGAATAAGCAGAAAGAGGAAATGTCATTGCATTTTCTTCCAATATAAAAATGCCACCGGGTATGTAGAAAATGATTATGCTAATATCCTGTTATTTGCTTGGGTAGATAAGAAAAATATCAAATTATTACCGTATTATTAGCGGACTTGTAATGATGCTCAATGTGCACTGTTACTTCAAAATAAGCGGGAGCTTGGCTATCTCTTGAGACTAGGAAGGAAGGTTGGTCAAAGTATCCCTTTGAAGTGAGTTGGGGAATTTCTTGTAGAGCTTGGAACGCTGGTTCCAAGTCTGCCTTCGTTATCTGCTGCGGGCTTCAGGGCGAGGAGCTATGAAGTATTGGAAGTAAAAAGTTATATGCAAGATTAATGAAAAATGAGTCGCATCCTTTTTTCTAAGGCTTTACTGGTAATAATTGGGTCACTCGGGCAACAAATATTTTTTCTTCAATCACAACAACTGGCTGCTGCCTCGATTGAGCGGTAGGAAAAGGTTACGACTAATTTTATACTAATCTTGCAATCAAATTCTTACTCACAAACAGCTTCATAGATCCTCGCCCAGAAGTCCGCAGGAGATAGCAAAGGTAAATTTGGAATCAGGGTTCCAAGCTCTGCAAATAATGTACATCTCATCTCAAAAAGTCATTTCGAACAGCTTTCCTTTCCTTGTAAGAAAAGCAGCAAGGGAAATATTCTGTGACTTTGCTATGGAAATGAATCAAATTTACAGCTTGTGCGGCATAAGCGTGGCAAAAGTCGATGTTATTCACATATAAGCAAGCAAGAAGAACCTGTCTTTTGTTTGCAAATGAGCGCAATACGCTAGTCAAACAACAAAACAGGACTTAGCATTTCCGTACTACCACTTACCACTTATATGCAAGTCATAGCCAGATATTTGAGAAAATACTTCTTTATCGTAAACTAGCCCCACTGAATTCGAAGCCAAGTTTACCTTAGCCTCTTTGCGAAAGATGTAGAGCGTATTGCACATACACCTTAAGGTTATGATAAACAATTCATATCTCATGAGTTTGCTTTTCGATGGAAGTGACTTTACCAGCAAAGAAAAAAGGTATTCCGGTAAGTCCTCACTTCAAGGCGATGCCAAAGAAGAAATGAGGCAATCCCTCAACTCAGAATTCACCTACATGAATGATTATGGAGCGATAGAAAACTAGAATGTAGCCTTGTCTTAATGATTTGTGCCATTAAGCCCGCACTTGCGGCTGTTGGATCCTGTTTATGTAAGAGATGGGACATTCTCAAGCGATGGACTTATTAGAGATTAAGCTTTGCGAAAGTTCCAACTTAGCGTTTTGGTAGGAATAAAACTGCAAAATTAGATTGCTCTCACCACCAAACCTCTAGCTATTATATAGCAAAATTACAGGATATGCACGTGTTATGTTGTCCGCTCCAGAAATGGGTCACAGAATTTTTTTAAGATGGTCTGCATTTGTGATTTTTATTCGGGTAATGTTTCTGCAAGTCCACAACAAGAGATCTGTACTGGTTTTTTATAAAAGAAACTTTTTGCTGAGCGTAACTGCTACCATTCCTACAAGATCTCACAAATTTAAGAAGCTTTCCATAAAGCTTTGTGACGCCTCTTTACGTGGAAAATTTTTGCCTGTCCCCCTCTCTGCCCTAGCCCCGCTCTCCAAAAAAGTGGGAACGCTATCCATACTACAGATCATGCAGTCACAAAAAGCAAAGAGGAAGTAAACTGTTGCAAATTCCTATAAACTTCAAACAAACGAAGCAGAAAATTAGTGACAAACAAATCATTCAGATATAAGTTAATGGGTACGTATTTTTGCTGAAATGGTTGCATTAGCATTGCAAACATTCAAGTGTTCTACATCATCAGTACTGTTCTTCTTTCAGTCTACAAAATGACGTCAATATGTACCAACTCTTGAGCTCGAAAAGTACTCGAAGTAACGCAACTCCGTCGAGTTTTTGTCACTGATAAAGAAAACTCTCTTCGTTATGTGTTTCTCGTCTTGATTAAATAAATTCCTCATAATATTATTCCGCCTTGGAAACATCGATTTAAGCAGGTTTACTCTGAAGTGCTTTGCTCACAAGGTCGACAGAATTTTCGTGATATAAAAGTGCTTCCTGAATGTGAGCAATAAAGCGTGACGAGGAAGCTATGCGCATTCTTTGGAAGAAAGAGATTGAAAGCTATAGGACCAAAAATCAATAGAGCAAAGGTTCAATGCATGGTTTTCACTTCTCTGGATATAAGAAAAGCTATTACAAGCGATTGTAACATTGCATGTGAACCAAACGCATGAAATAGCATGAAATGGTGCAGAGAGCGCAAATCGTCAAGCCGATGTTGAAATATGCAGAGCAAGTAAGGAGCGGAGATTCGCAGTGAGTGAGATTAGTGCTACGCCGAAGTGATAATCCAGGCTGCCCTTGAAACACGTCTTTAATTCAAGTGATTCGAGCGAGGATGCCCCGGGATGCCCTGCTGTACAACGCTGAAGAGGATGGGGGCATTTGTTAGGATTTGCATAGCAGTATATCAGTTTGATTCAATGCTGCATTCGCAAAGAAGAAGGAGAATTATGATCACGGGAAGAAGAATTATGATAACATAAAGCGCTTTGCCGAGTTACTGAAAATTAATAGCTGCACTTAACACATTTTGTCACAACAAAAAAGATAGTAGCTCTAAATGACGTCGTGTATGTTAGTATCAATAGCTGCAAATTTTGCCATAGAAACCTTTTGCACCATGCATTATCATTTTTCATTGTCATTTTCATTAAATACGCTGGAGGCGTACCATAAGAAAAAACAAACAGTGTAATTTGTTAGTTTTACACAAAATACGAATAGCAACAGAACAACATATGCTTCAAGCCCACACTTCATACAAACTGAAGAATAACGACTTAGTTTGCAAAAAAACTGCTGGATATTACGAATGTCAATAATGAGTTATATCCACAGAGATGGAACCCATGCCCCCGCGCTAGCTAGCAAACGATCTTAAAGTATTCAAAGAAGCAAACGACGGCGGGTAAGCACCCACCGGCCTGCCGGGGAGAGCCCAAAACTCCATGAGCATTGCTACATGTGCAAAACAGAATGCTATCACGTACTGCACATTGAATATGAATCTAAACGAATGGTAATCTAAGGAGGTACCCATACCCCTTCGTTTGCTAGCCACGATCTCAAAAGATTTCGAAGAAACAAGCCGGAGTTTATAACCAACCTATCCCCTTATCAATCTGCAAACGTTTCGGAAACAAAAATTGTTCAAGTTACTGTAGCTAGCTGTAGCATGTGTATAGAAAATGGCAACCTATTGATTCAGAGAACATTGTGCTAAACCATCGAGAATGACTCGATCTATTGAAGATTTCCAATGTTCACTTGCAGCAACACATGGGTGATGACGACAATGTCATAAAATCAGTGTGCCTACTATCTTCATATGTGGGAAAGCTAGAGACTCATGTTCAACGCTTTTATTTCCCCACGAGCGATTCTGGAATAATTGTCTTCAACGAGTGAAAATTGCATGGTGTAAGCTTGTGAAAATGTCATAAGAATGGAGCAATGCTCGGAATGATCCAACAGCAGCTTCGCTCGGTTTCTTTATACATGCTTTGCAGAAAGCGGTGTCGATTATAAGCCAAAACTATTGGTAAGCTTTGCTTGAAACAACAGAGAAAAAATTACAGAGAGCATTCTGCAAATTGCTGCTTTTTGCAACTATGAAAAAAATGCTTTGATTACTCTCGATTGTTTTCAGCTCAAGGTTTTAGAGGAGGAAAGCAAGCGAAGTGACGCAAAGAAAGCTGTATATGAAGCCCGTTCGGCTACGATGTGAGGATATCCGTACATTACTGA